GAATTATCAGCCAGGGTTGTCTTCTGGAGACTTCTTAACAGATTGCTTTTAAAAGATTGGCTTCCAAACTTCTCAATTATGTTATAGCCAATGAAATTACCTTCGCCTTCCATATTTAGGTTAATTCAACTTGTAACTGCTGCATTGTTGAGCTTCTTTAAAAAAAAATATTACGGTAGATATTCTGAGGTATGAGCTTTAGCTTGGGAGACTACTCATACCATGAACATTATGCTAAATTGAGGAGCCAGTCTGCCTGTATATTCACAGGAGAAAGCATGAAAGAGCTTCACTAGACATGAAACCGGAGCCTTACCGAATCATCTTCCCTTCCCAGTAATTGTAGATAACACATGAGGCGGTGACACTTTTCAAAAGTGGGGTGACCATAAACTGTCTATGTGAAAGCAACCAGAAGCAGCTGGGAGGAGGTAGGCATGTGTCGGGGGAGGAAAGGGGGAAAGAAAAGCAGCAAATGGCTTTCTTACGATGTCAGTGGGTTGTAAGATGATTGAGGAAGAAGCCATTGAGGGAGGTAATGTGTATTTTTGTTTCGGCTTCAGTTCTGAGCCTTCATCACCATATGTGAGTTGTGGGAAAGTAACTATTAGAGCATACGAAATTGAAATACTTCTTGTATAATTCTGCTGAACTTGAGGGATGTGAGTTGTGCCTTTGAAACTGAGAGGCTTCTGCTGACTGCTTTGTGAAAACCATGCAATATTGTGTGTTTCCTGCCATATGGGACATCTAGGGCAGACAGGGAAAAGAAGCTTCAGGAATTAAGTAGAATTTTGTTAATTCTAGGTTTTGTTTTTGTAAGAGATGTGACTTTCGATTAAACATGGATAGTCAGCATCCATCCTCCATACCTCTCATTCCTATTCTGAAAGTTTAGTGGTGCACAAGTTTTTGCCTTGGCCTTTCACCAAATAGATGAAGTCTATGCTTCTGAACATTTCCATTCCTAATGACTTTACATGAAAGATGATTTCAGTATGGATATAAAGCTATCATCAGTCTACCCCCCATTATGTGTAGAGACATAATGCTAAAATTTAGAAAGCAATGCAATGGGTTTTAACGCAGAGGAAGAAAACATTTTAAAATGAGCCCAGATAGTTATAAAACTTCATTTAAACAACACAGAGCATGATAAATGTACAAATGTCTAAACACATCTAAATAGAGTTCTCTGATGTGGCATAATTTGATGTAATATATAAAGTTTTTGTCTTAAAGACTTTGAAATGTTAAAGTAATTAAGTGAATTTATATGAAAGTCAGCTCATGCTTTAGCTTCCAGTAAAGGGAGTGGTTCTTTAGAAAGCAGAGTTTTAGGTTTCCTTCCACCTCTTCCCAGCGACAGTACATCTTCTGCTAGAATCCTGTCAGTTTGCAGTACAACTTGAAGTTACATCCCGTTAACATTACATTGATGTTTTTATTTTAGTCAATGAGACCTCCTCTGCCTCATTTCTGTAGGTAGTCCAAACTCCCTAAAACCCAGAAGCTTTAGTGCTATTCTGAATCCAGTTGTTAATTCCAGCCATCTGAGAATCAGTGAAGGAATTCATCACATATTAGACCTTTAGTAGTACAAGCTAAAGACTCAAAAGCTTGTTTCAATGAATGGCAGATGTTAAT